GTAATAGTAATAGTAATAGTAATAGTAATAGTAATAGTAATAGTAATAGTAATAGTAACAGTAATAGTAATAGTAATAGTAATATTCATGAGGGTAACTGTCCGGACTAGCACCCATTTTGTCCGGGATAGCGTGTACACACCGCAAATGTTCGGCCGCGCCTGGCCCGGACTAGTTTGATGTAGGATCAAATTTGAAGTCAGTACGGAATAAAAGTAAGAGATTGAAAGTAACTGGTTTACGGTGATTGTTTTACGGTAATAGTAATAGTGAGGTAACGGAGAGAATCATTTTTCATTACAGTATGTCGCAGAAGAGTACGTATCCTGCTATGGGTGAGGGGGTCCATGCCCCCCCCTTTGGCATCCGGAATACTCTCTAATTTTCAGTGGCATCTAGNCAACACCTTCTACTTCTACACTGTGTTGTATTATGCGTCAGCAGCTTCATGCAACGAGTGGCAGCTGCAGCGGATACATAAGCTGGGTTTTATAATAATACATGCGGAAATAATACGCCTCTATTCATGTAAATATAAATGTTCACCTATATACAAACAATGACGATGTAATAATCACAAATATTGTCAATAGGTGAATAGCTCCTGATATGATCTGTCAATTGTGCGTGTTAGATGACATACTTATCTTACGCCATGACTTGTGGCAAGGCTAACAAATAATTTTGTTGAGGGAACGGATTTTTTTGACTTCTCAAAAATTGTTCCTAATGAACATTTTAAAGACACTGACGCACGCACTCAGCGACGCACACACACATACAAAGACATACATGCACCCATAGAAATGTATGTGCCGGCCTGCGTGCGTACGTACGTGCGTCGGTGTGTGACTGCGTGCGTTCATACATGTATACGCACGTGTGTGCGTATTTGTGTGCTTCGTACTACTACAGCTAGCTATATGTGCTTGCGTGCTTGGCTGCCTGTATAAGTAGGTACGGGCGTGCGTACGTGCGTCCGTCTACGTATGCTAATCGCAGGGGTAGACGAAGTTTTTGCTGCACGCTCGCACCATCTAATACATGCAAAAATTGCGTATCGGCTCTGGCCCAGTTTGGCTTGGAAAGAAGAAAAACGCGAGCTTGACTAAAGATAATTATCATTGTAAACTCACGCCGGTGTATATGATCGCTGTATGTAGGCTGTGGTACTTTTCGCATTTACCAGACGGATGGATTTTAGGAGCCTGGATCATAATTTCACCATTGAATAAATTGTCATATTGATCATGCGTGTAGCATATATTTGCTAGAATTTAGAGTATCTACAATGTTATGTTGGAGCACAATGGAAAGAAGTGTGTTAGCCATGCTTTTTCATTGCGTTTTCATCGTGCAGAATTTCGCAGCTGTATAATACCACCATTGCATTGCACCATTTCGATCACTCGGTACCCGACGGTCGTGCGTGCAATGCGATTTTCATCACTCGGTACCCGACAGTCGTGGTCGCAATGCCATTTTGCATCACTCGGTACACGACGGTCGGGTATATAATACGTTCCTATAATATATCATTCGACACTATACTATTATTTACGATAACAAATGTTAACAAATCTATCGTTCAACGGCAATGGCAACTGTCAAGAACAACATTATGTAACAACTAGACGATGACTAGGCCTATTTCAATGTTGTCTCACCGATGGAATTCACTCCTCACATGTAACAACCTTACACTTAGATATGCACTACAACAGCGTGGCATGATATATCGATGGATGCAACATCGATGGCTATGTATGAATGCGAAACTACATGCTCGAACTATTACGTCATCATCGGAAACATCAGACCATCGGGGGTACTAAGATGCATACGGCTGCTGCTGCTCTGGCAGCACATANCTTTCGATATCATATATAAACTAGCCTCGGCCTTACCCGGCGATGCCCGACGTACAAAATGCTAAATAACATAAGCACGTGATGATGAGTCCTCCGGAATTAGTAGGGGTCGTATAGCGCGACCGCCGCAGCATTAGAAAATACTATAAATAATTTCTTAATGCTACAAATTTAGATTTTGTAGTTTGTAGAGTTCCTTCATATCTCTTATATCTGCGATTCTAGATCTTCTCTCTAGAAATATAACACGAAAATATATATCTGCGCGGCCACCCATCACACACCGCGTCAGATGCTGAACCCTGATACAGGCTCCTAAACAAGAGGAATTTGCGACGCGACACTGTGAGAGACAAAACATACACTCCCACCCTCTAGCTAGACAATACAGGCGAGCATACGTTCAGTAGTAAGGCGCTATTAACCACATCGAGAGCTCCGGCAGCCAGCTAACGCCTGAGCCATCTTAGAAATATACCAACCAATAATTTCTCATTACACACAGATAAAGCTTCTGAGAGACTGTATATTTAGGTTCTATTTTATCTTATTTACCTATCATCTATTGGCTCATGCTTGCGGCTATCCGTACTTATGTCTCCGCGATTGCGTCGCGCACACGTCTACAATCCAGGCTAGTATACAAGAGGCAAAAATACCAAGTTGGTTTCCCGGGTTGACTCTATATCATATAAGAACGGAGAGAAGATATGGCATACACAATTGACAACAATACGATAGGATTAATAACGTAGAGCCGGAAATCAACCACATCCCCTATTATTATTCATTTACTGTACTTTATATATGTATTATCTCTAATGAGCATATTGATCTCGTACAATAGTTAATTCCTCATCCCTGTATTTACAAAGTAAAGTCAGAAAGTGTGATCTTCATAGAGAAGCTGTTATGCTGAAGCCCGAATTGTCGTTGTTGCTTGATTTTTGATTAGTGTTGTCGAGTGTAAATAGAAAAGATAGTATCGTATGAGAGAGAGAGTCAAGTGTTGGTCATAGATCCGAATGTATGTTCAATTGATGAGTAGTATTGTTATGTGTTGGGCGATGCTTGGTGTGTGCCTACCCTGATATCTATTCCATATCTAACCCCTCCTTGAATCTAATTGAAGCGACACATCTAGCATCTCTCTGGATGAAATCTCAATTACATCATTCTAATAACCTCCCCAATTGCCTACCCACCCTTCAATGATAACTAATTGATACAATCCACCCCCTTTATATCCTTTATATCACGGATATAATGACAATTAAATTACCCCATTCACAACGATATTAATGTCCTAACCCAACGCTCATATAATCGGCATGGTATTACAGTCGTATACAATTCACTATTGGACAGATTACACCGCTCAGTCAGCCGCAGATTCGTTTCATCGTCATGCAAACTTTTATGCCAATTGATCACTGTAGAGAACTATTCCTTGTACACAGAATGGCTGAAGTTATGCTATGTACGCCAGCAACCATATATTACGTCCTAAGCTTAGAAGCGAGTCAACCTCCTAGACCCCAAGCACAACTCCACTGTCATTAACACAATGATCATCATCATCAGAACAGCGAAATAATGCATGTAGACATCTATATAAGCATGGAGAGTTAGAACTACTGTCTTATAAGAAGTAAAAATATAGTGAGAAGAAATATTACTAAATAGAGCATGTCAGCGCAAAACGCAGAAATGATATTATCACTCTTACGCAAGCGTAGTTCTCTGTACTAATACTGAAATCTCCCATCGCAAACTAATAATGAGAGGCAGATAAACATACACCTAACGATAACCACACGTGAAAAGAGACCTGTACCAAAAATCGCTACACGCTGTAACACTCTAAGCAATCGCTCACTAAAACAGACCCAGGAAAAAGAAATCCAAACAACAGCGTACGTAACCACTATAAATATAATTAATTCATAATAACATCATAATAATCACCATTAATGAGGAAGCGGGTCAAACAACATACAAATGAACAACTTTTAACTAGTGTGATAGATTCAATCACAATGAACTTTTGCATGTTAGAATTTAGAGAAACACCTACCAGAATTAACTGCCCATATTTTCCATATCAATGCGTATAAGATAGAGAAAGACAGAGAGCGAGAGAAATAGTGCGTCTTTGTCGTAGTCATTTGGACTGTGAGGACTACCATTAAGAGATTAATATTACATGTAGAAAGTACAGTTTGAGTCGTGAGTGGTTGCTGAGCATACGTGAAAGGGGATGCGTATCTAGCTATGTGAGTGTGTTGCGTTGTGTGTGTTGTGCGTGCGCGTGTGTGTGTGTGCATGCGTGCGTGCGTGCGTGCGCGTGCGCGTGCGTGCGCGTACGCGTGTGCGTGTGCGTGTGCGTGTGCGCGCGTGTGTGTGTGAAATCTGCATATTTAAATTAATTGATAGTTAAATTTTTTATTTATTTTATTTATATATACATATATATAATGTTATCATGAATGAATTTAGCCGCGCGTCCTTGCCTATGCCCATCCTAGCAGCAATCCGTCTGTGCTGGTGATTAGGTTCGCAGCGACCCCTGTTGGATATGTTAGCGGGATATTTGAGTGTGAGCGAGAAGGGAGGCACCGCGGAGCTGGTAGTGTACTGGTTAGTGAATAGTCCATTGCATATAAATATATGTAGAGAGAAAGAGGGAACGAGAAAGAGAGAGAGAGAATTGCAAGCGAGATTAACCAAAACTAATGTGTATTTATTTCAAAGAATGTTTATCGTCAAGATAATAGGTAATGGTTGTCTATCGGGACTGACATTATTACTGAAACATTCCTCCCTCTTAGGCGCTGCCATGTTTATACGCGTGGAATGTACGAAGGCGTGTATGGACGCATTGCTAACCACCAACGCTATGTTGCAGCCAGCACGAAAGAAGAAAAACGACATTAGACCATACTGATTATTTATATAAACTACATCACATATATA